TATCTCTCCGGCCCCCCACATTCGGTAGTCTCACCCTTCTTCCCCCACCCTGGGGAGGTCAATGGCGATGGGCAGGCAAAGGAAGGAACGAGGGCCAGACTGGTTGGTCTTAGTTACAGTTTATTCCAATCCTCTCTCCATCCACATCAGTCTCTCTTCTCTGCCTCTGCCTCCGCTTCTTCCTCCCCCATGCTACTTCATTCTCCTTCTCCATCCCCCTTCATCCATCTTCTCTGGAGTCTGTCTTCTGATCCCTCTTTCTCTTCCTTCTGATCTCCCAGCCCCCTCTTACAGTCTAGATAAATCCCAAAGCATGAGGAGTTGGGGCAATAATTACACATAGGTATGGTCACAATCAAGACAGGTAGAACTCTTTCCCTCAGGGAAAGCTGCTCCTAGGACAGATCCTCTCTCAGCAGGATGACCCACCCTAGAGCAGAATCTCATTGGGTGTGTCTCTCCTCTCCTTGTCCAGACAAGCATATAAGAATATATAATATAAATCATTTTATATAGATACAGTAAGAAATATCTTAAACTTATAGAATTGCTCTCTTAGGGTCATCTCGATCTCAGACTACAGTGCTCAGGCCAGATAGTCTTTCCCACCCCTAGTAGGATCCTTGTATCGTCGTTACTTTTGGATCATGACAGCATTTGCCTATGATCAAACTCTTAGCTTATAGTTAAGAATCGTGGCACTTTGGCCTGGCCCATTTCGATGCCAGCGTAGCTCACCACTTGCCCGGGGTCCATTCAGTCCCTCGTCGGGACCCTGCTTTTGGGGTGTTAGGAACTAAGGGCAACTGAGGCTTAAGTCAAGAAAGCAGATGCCTGGGAGTGAATAATATTCAAAGCCAATTAAGTCCTAAGTTACAAAGCATAATGTTAACGGTCTTCCTGTATCTATACAAAAAGGGCATTGTTTTAAAGTAAACTGTTCATAAGGCATAAGGAGAGGAGAAAGGCAATTTTCACTCATATATATAAAATCATAGATTTCTGAGGAATCTGACCTTACAAATTAAAAGAGTCTGATTAGGGGGAAAGCTGATTATCTGGGTGGGGAGGAGAGCATAGGAAAGACTGTTTACAGATAAACACAATGGAATGGAAGTGCCTCAGGAGCACTGTGATGGTTGTAACCAGATAAACCTAAGCTCCTTGTGGAGGAAGGACAAAGCAATGTCATCCTACAATTTTTTATTTAAAAGTAATAGAAGCATAATGTAAAATATCCTATGCCATTTATAATTAAAAAAGCCATGTCATATCCTAATATCTTAAATCACAATAATCAAATACAAGTAGATCACTAGAAAACAGAACTGGGAAATCTTAACGAAAAAAAAAGAATTATAAATTAAGACTTGATGAAATGGTTTAGGACTTGATGGTTGCTTTATTTGTGTAATGTTGGACCTTTTCAATAATCTTTCTTGGACTTGAAGCTCCTAATTTGGAAAAACATAGAGAGTTGATTTCCTTCCAACACTACATTTGGGAGCAGTGCATAGGCCATGCATGGTTATTTATGATATAAAATACTTAATTCTATTTGAAATTTTGTTTGACGAGATATGACTTACTAGAGAATTTGCTAATACAGGTTTTGAACTTGAATATAGAAATAAGTAATAAAATATATTACTTAATATAAGAAATATAGAAATAAGCATTTATTTATAATGTTATTTTGGTATAGAACAAGCCACAGACAATACCAGTAGTGGATTAAATTTTTTCCACTTGTACTGTTGAAATATTTAACATCTTCAAATTTGCAAGTGTTAATAAGCATAAAAATTAGAGTATGTAAGAATTTGTAGAATTTTTCATTTCAAATTTTCCATTGAATTTATGATTTACGACCCACTGAATTTTTAGTTTACTTTCACTTTGATAATCTTAAAAACAGATGAAAGGTTTTAATAGTTTAGTGTTTGTTTACACTCTATTTTAACAGGTGTGAAAATAATTGAGTTCTTAAATTAAGCAGCATGAATATTATAATAATGAGTCAAAGAATATATGTACATATATCTTATGTTTTGAAACAGTTTATGGTTTTAAGGTATTTTCCAAAATAATGAGTAACTACAAAGTAAAATATAATTTTTCCTGCTACAAATGTCAAAATGTGCTGTTACAGCACATAGTAAAGGTGCTGTATGTGATTCCTTAAGAATTTCCGCATGGATTTTTTTTTCTAATTTTACACTAAAGATAATTGAAACATTGGACTCATAACTGAAACTTGATATTTTAAATGATTTATTTTTGCCATTTTGTAAATGGCAATCTTTGCCATTTAATAGCTAGGAAACATTCAAAATGTAGAAAAAAATCTCAAATGTGTTTTCATAAATTGATTCAGTTAAGATTAACTCCATACCCTTTCTATTTTCTCCAAAAACATTACCTAATCTGCTGATGAAAATAATTTCCATATATCAGAAATAATCTTATATGACAACTTAATGTTAGCGTACAATTGAATGCACCTGCATTTTCTCATTGATTGAAATGCTACACCAATAATAAGTTAAGTCCACTCAGATTTTGTGTTGATGCTTCTTCTCGATTTCCTCTACTGTATTATTCAACCTAAGCACTAACTACTATTCCCTAGATAACTATTTTACAGAGAGACTTAACAGGGTGATTCCAATCATATTGCAATTCATCCTGTCTGTTTTTTATATCAAAATTTAAGTATTTCTTTGTTATTTTTATCTATATTTTAAAAATATCTCAGTATTCCTTTAGGACATTCTATTCAAAATATCTTTAAATGTGAATGCATTTTTATTAAAAGGAGGATTTAAAACCTTTTAATATTGATTTTTTAGATTAAAACATAATTCAAATTCATAATCTGTTTTTCGATTTCAGAATCTATAATGTGAAAAGTAAGACTTTTTCTGAAGTTTGTTTTTTTTTTGCAAAATCTGATCCATTTCTATAAATTTTGAGAGAAAAATAATAAAAATTTAGTTGAATCCTTTAAAGCTGGATAAAAACTATTTATCATAGATATTGGAATATTCAACTACAGATATCTGCTATACTGTAGCATAAGGTGATATTCCAAAATTCAGTGGCATGGTTTCTGTGTTATAGTTCATGTGTATAATTGGGACAGTTATCATTTTTAATTGGCATATCAGAAAGTATACAAACGATAAGTATAAAATTTTACAAATTATCACAAAGTGAACACATAGATCAAGAAAGGCAATTAAAACCACCCAGAATACTCTCCTATGTTCACCTCTTAAAGGAAATATCACACTAACTTCTAAGATTAGTGGGTAATTTCTCACATTTAAACTTTCTAAATAAAGAGCATTTAACATTAGTGTATAAACAAAAGAAAATGGATGTGGAACATAGAATACTCAGTTATATTATTTAGCTGCACTAAATCTAAGAACACTATAAAAAGTTTATTGTTTATTTGATTTATTTCACTAAACACTTCTTTTTGTAGGATTTTTTTAATTTAAAATAGCGTTTGTTCTATTAATGTATAACAAATTATATGTCAAATTCACTGACAAAATAAGAGTGGTTTTTAGTTTTCTTATTATTAATAGTGCTAATGAACATGTTTGTATATGACATTTGGTACATATGTCCACAGATTGAAAAGAACTTCATACTATGTAGCACAGATTTATACTGTGCTATATTTACCTAATTAAGAAAAAAGATTTAAAGTGCCTGAGGGTGTTACTTGGTGGTACTCTCTTTTGCACCATCCCACATGACAAGTGTGAGATCTTTGCTCACTGAATACCATTAAAGAGATGGGAGAGACTGAGAGCTCATTTTGAATATTAAAAGAAAAAAACTAAAAAAAGAGGTATATTTGACCTTGTGAATGAAAAGCAGAATGTCCAAATATATTGTGTCTAACATGAAGCTAACTTTCTTCCAACAATCACTCAAATCTCTCTAGTCATGATGAGTTTAATCCATATCGTACAGAAAGGAGCTGCCTTTAGAATCAGATTGGCCAGATTCACATCTTGGCTAAATCAGTTCTTACCAAGATGGTATGGTCTATCAGTTAAGGAAGGATATTTTATGCTCCTGCTACAAAAAGATTAAAATTTCATAGTTATATAATCAACATGGGTAAATGAGGAAATTTGCTTATTCAGAGTTTACTGAATAAAGACAGCCTTATTCTTTCTTTCATGGAACAATAAGAATAATCTGGCAGACTAATGTAAGCTAAGGTTTGGGCAGGACTATATATACATATTTTTTTGTTATCTTTAACTACTATATTTTAATGCTTTACTTTATTCACCATAAGTCTATCTTAACAGAAATCTCTAAATTTTACCTAATAATATTAATAATAACAATATAGTTTTAAATATGTGCTTGGCCAATTCAATTCTCCTTTTATAGATATCATTTAGTCCTAACAATCTTTGAAGTTGATGTTACTGTCCTAGTTAAAAGTGAGAAAAATAAGACTAAAAGGAATATTAGTGTGGTACATAATTAATAGGGGCTGAAGAAATAATACAGATGATAAGGGGTTTCCCTTGCATGTAGATGACCGAGGTTTAATCACTGGCACTCAACAGGGTTTCCTGAGCACCTCTGGGTCTGTTCCCAACCTAAATAAAGAAATGTTATTAAATTATAACATTGAAAAGTTAGTAAAGCTGAGAATTAAAAGGGTTTTTTTTTCTCTGTCTAAAGCTGTGCTGTTTCTTTTAAACTCTGAAGAAAGCTAATTTCCTGTTCCATTTTTAATCAGTTCTAATCAGTTGCCCTTTCAGGAACTGTGGTTTTTCTTTTATCCTTCAAATTTGATATTCCAGGAGACTTTTTTAAAAACAAATTCTCACATTTTACATCACACTCATATAGCTGAGTCCCATGACCCTGGGAAAGAACAATTTTTAATCTACATGACTCTCCCTTTCCTCTCTTTTTAATGTTCTTTCTTCCTCCCCCCCCCCCCCCCCCCATAGGTATCTACAGATGAAGGCTTGAGTCTGGCCCGAGAGTATAATTGTGCTTTTTTTGAGACATCTGCAGCCCTCCGCTTCTGCATTGATGACGCGTTTCATGGTTTGGTGAGGGAAATCCGCAAGAAGGAGTCCATGAACTCGCTAATGGAAAAGAAACTGAAGAGAAAAGATAGCCTGTGGAAGAAGTTAAAAGTATCACTGAAGAAGAAGAGAGAAAACATGATATGATTTGCTTGTTTCTAACTCTTTTACTCTTTCTCTCTCTCTCTGTCTCTCTCTCTGTCTCTCTTTCTCTGTCTCTCTGTCTCTCTCTGAATTTTATCAGTTGGACAATCCAGATGTCACATACTGCTTCAATTTCCTTCTCTATACATAGTTGCCTATAGGTAAAAGTAAATTAAAAGATGTACATCTTGAGATGGTTTTGTTTTGCCCATAACAGTTGGATGGTTTTTGTCAATCAGCTGGATAGCTGTTTAATTTTTACAATATATTACTAAATAAAATTGACATTCGAATTGCCTCATTTCCCTTGAAAGAGTCTAGCTTCATTTGGTATGTTGTCTCATTATAGAGGAAATATTTAAAATTGCAGAGAAAATGATAAAGTCTCCAGGGCTCTGCCTTTGCCTGATAAGCTCTAGCTATTTGTGCTTCAAGAATCACCGTAAATAATGAAAAAGCTCGGGAAACAATTCAGAGGAGGAGGTAAAACTTGGTCTTTCCTTAATTGTAGAGGTCATGATGCTCTTCCTTGAATTCTCCAGAGACAGATCTTAGAGAAATATTAGAAATTGGTCATGGGTCACTGGAGTATTGAAATAAAATTTTCTGCATATTTGCAGTGTTCTGTCCTGTTTGTGTTTCACAAAACTGTCACAGTGAGGTTACATGCTGTGGCATAGGTATGTTGTCTTTTTAGCAGGGAAATAATAATTACTATGAATTTATGATTTCAATACTCATAAAATGGTCCTTGTTCCCTTTCAATGAGAAGTTCTTCTGAGGACTGTTTACCTGCATCAGGACCATCCACAGAATCAGAGATGAAAACACTCTATTATAGTATATACTCCTTATACTCTCACAAATGACTCTCTCCTCTTAAGCCATGAAACACTTCAGTTGTTGGGGGGGGGGGGGAGTTGGGATTCTTTTTTGTTTTACAATGGATCATCCTAGAAAATCAAACTGCCCATTCAGTCATTTACTCTATTGTGTGAATTGGTTGATTCAAATTCAAGCTTAGAAAGCAGGCTACTAGCAAGAACATTTTGAATATTTAATAGAGTGTTTAGAGAAAAAAATAAAGAGCAGAGATAGAATACATCAATCCCATCTTTATGGTTTGGGGACACTATTCATCATAAATAAAAGGAAGCATGGAGGACATAGTTGTCATTCAACATGCAGACAGTTATTTTATTCACAATGCCCTTGGCACCTGCTTATCTTTTGCCATGCAGGTATGAATCAAGGTACTTTAACATCAAGCTGGAAGATTCACTTGGCCGAAGAACAGTGGGATTAGAAACTCCTGTATGAGAAGAAATTTCATTCAGTATTATATATGTGTGTGTATGTAATATGTATATGTATATATAATAAATTTAGAGACTGTAATTTTTAAACTGTTGAGCCAAAAAATCAACCTTTTAGAACACTGAACTTCTGTTCCTTTATTTTCAAAGGCCAGATTTTTTCCAAACCCGAACAGATACTACTGTTCTACAATGATCAGGTTACCTGAGTATGCATTTACAGATTCTTTTAGACACTGTGACCTTTTGTATTTTTTTTCCAACCTTCATCTGTAAAGTAGAGCAGGCTAATAAAGTTTCCAGCTGTGCCTATCATTCACTCCTGATTTTGTGCTCAGGGATCACTCCTGCCAGGGCTGGAGAACCATATGGGGTATGGGATTGATCCCCGGTCAGCTGCATGCAAGCGAAGCATCTCTCCTGATGCATCTCTCCCGCTTCTCTCTCTCCTCTCTCTCTCATCTGCCTCACTCTCTCTTTCTCTCTTATTTTCAAGCTGATTGTCTTCTTAGTAGACAGGACTACATCAAATGTGCTAGAACAACACAACACTGCATAAAGACTATGTTGATTCTTCCTCTGTATAGAACTAAAAATTCTATACTTTGTTCCAAGATTTTTTTTTGATGCAAAAATAAAACGTATTTTATTTTTTTCCTCTTACTGCTTGTAATATTTTTTTCCTGTCCAAGAAATTGCCAAAGCCAATGGTGGAAAATTTTCTTTCAATATTATTTTCCAAAGACTGGAGCGATAGCACAGCAGGTAAGGCATTTGCCCTGCATGCGACCAACCCAGGTTTGATTCCTCCACCTCTCTCAGAGAAACCGGTAAGCTATGGAGAGTACAGGATTTTGTTTTTAACCAAACATAGGATATCTAAATCTCTATCAAAAGCTCAGAAAACAGAACTATAGAGTCTAGTTTGTCAAATGTAATATCAAGAAATTATTGAAAAATAAGCATTCAGTGTCCATTATAAAGGAAAGTTTAGCAATCCAATATAATTCCGGGTGACTCAAAGTTTACTAGACACATTAGCATTGCTGTGTACTCACATATGTGAAAGTCTGAGGGTGAATGATCCATGTATGTATTGGTGAGGCACAAGAAAACTGTTGATAGTTATTGCCCTTAGGAGTGTATAACATATCTATTTTCTGTTTTGTTATCTTGTAGATAAAATAATTTGTCAGATCATAGATAAGTGGCAGATTAAAATACTATATTTTGTGTTCAGCAAGTTCTAGTTGAACTTGGAAACTTTCATAAAAAATTGTCAGTAAGAAAAAAAAATAAACATATACAGTTCAGTCACAAATTTTGTTCATATCATACTTTTAAGTGCAAGGAACAGAAAGGTGTTTATTTCTCTAAAAATCACCAGCTCTATTTCATGATCCCCTGACTAATGGCAGCTGTACTCAGGGGAATAAATTTCAGTTAAAATTCAGTAAGTTAATGCTAATCTGAGGAGAATAGTTCAAGAGGTATCGTCAAATATCGCACATAGGTGTGTTCTTTGGGCATGTAGGTCAATGGTTGGTCATTCAGAGTTTTGCATTGTATAACTGTCTGTCCTCCCGTTGTTTATCGATTTGCTCGAGCGGGCCCAGTAACGTCTCCATTGGAGACTTTGTTGTTACTGTGTTTGGCATATTGAATACATCACGGGTAGTTCGCCAGGCTCTGCCGTGTGGACGAGATACTCTCGGTAGCTTGCCGGGCTCTCCAAGAGGGGCGGAGGAATCGAACTCGGGTTGGCCATGTTGGCTGCATGCAAGACAAATGCCCTACCGCTGTGCTATCGCTCCCAAAATTGCATTTGAGTATGGTGGAAAAGCATAGCATTGTGATCTCATGGAAGCTAAGTTCCACCCTTATTTTCTAAATTCAACATAGTCTCTGACATCCCCTTTTATTTTTAAAATCATGGATCTTACCTGAATTTTTTTTCTTGTAAGAAATCTTGACATAAAATATACCATCTCATGGAATTTTAACTGTACACTATTACTGACTATAAGTATACTGCTGTACATAAGATTTGTTCATCTTTGTTTGAAACATTATCATTTAATTAATAATTTCCAATACTTCTTTTATTTTAATAACCCTGGTATTTGATTCTGTTCATTGAACTGGTAGATGTTAAAATATATGAATGATTGCTCTCATTTGTTGGATATAAAAAACATAGTATGAGAAATACCCATGGACAATAGAAATGGTAGTCATAAGAACTGGCCCAGAGTTGGAAGCTTGTCACAAATTGGGGGTAGGAGAACAGGGAAGTTAGGGTAGAGAAGGGACTGGTATGACAATTGGAAATAATCTGGACAAGAACTAAGTGCTGAAAGTAATGGATATAAATGATATGTATATATATATTTCTCATATATAATGCATATGGGGAATGGAGATACATGTGGGATATACATGAATGCATGATAACCCTATAGTGCCTGTACTATAAAGCATAATTCCCAAAAGGAGGAGGAGGGAGGGAGGGAGAAAGGAGAAAGGAGAAAGGAGAAAGGAGAAAGGAGAAAGCGATAGATAGATAGATAGATAGATAGATAGATAGATAGATAGATAGAGATAGATAGATAGATAGATAGAGATAGAGAGTGAGATTTTGCTGTAGAGGATGACTACAGTGAATAGGGGAAAGAAGGAGGATATTGGGGACACTGGTGGTGGGAAATGTACACTTGTGAAGGGATGGGTGTTGTTGGAACATTATAAAACTGAAACCTCAATCATGAACAACCTTGTAATTATTTATCTCATGGTCATTTAATAATTAAATCAAAATATAAATTATATGGAATATAGACAGTGGGGCCAGGATAAACCAGCAGTTTCTATTACAGTACATAAACATGCTCCTTAGCATTTGCGTTCCTAAGGTCTTTTATATATAATCTCTTTATGCTGATCCTAGGTCTCTTCCAGTTTACCTCTATCCATATCTGTGTATCACTTTGGGATACATCAAATATCATATCTGAGTCATGAGGATTCCTGAACCCTGTCTTTTTACAACTGTTTACACTCTGTCCCCAAATCTTTCTAGCTTATATGATACTATCCCCAGGAGTTCACCTTACTCCTAGTATTATTCTGCAACTGTGATTTACATAGCAGCAGTGATATACGGCATAAAAAAAGACCAATCAGAATAGGCCAATCAGAATAGAGTTTGTGGTAAACAATGAAGGCCCACCTGTTGTTGCTCGAGCGGGCCCAGTAACGTTCCATTGGAGACTATGTTGTTACTGTGTCTGGCATATCGGATACGTCACGGGGAGCTTGCCAGGCTCTGCCGTGCGGGCGAGATACTCTCGGTAGCTTGCCGGGCTCTCTGAGAGGGGCGGAGGAATCGAACTCGGGTCGGCCATGTTGGCTGCGTGCAAGGCAAACGCCCTACCGCTGTGCTATCGCTCCAGCCCTGGTAAACAATATATTTATCTATTTATATGGAAAAACTTGAGAACTAGTCTTAGTTATTTCAAAGTTGGATTGCTGTTTGTAAGTAACTACATATCACAATTCAGTGCAAAATACCTGAAGGTGGAGAATGAGGCAAAGAATCTTGCTTTCTTAGTCTCTCTTTCTTCCACTTACATTTTTATTTTAGTCACTGTACTCTACAATTTTACAGTACTTTCAATGGTAGGTTTTATGCATACAATATTTCAGTACCATACTCCCAACATCATGTCCTTTGCTATCTA